AAAAAATGGATTGTTTTCCTTCATCTAAGTTTTCGTTCACTTCAGTATTACAATAGGTATGTCACAAATCTTGTATTAAATCTCGTATGAATTCATCGGTATGCTATTCTAAAAAGCAACGATTTAGTGTTCACTTATTTAGTAAGTAATGTTAGTATGTAGGGAAAATGAACTCCATAAATTTAACTTGAACACTTCTCAACTGAAATTCTTTTGCAACTGTAATCATTTATTTATTTCAATCTATTTTCAAATCATTACAATGAACCGTTTAATAAACAAATTATTTAGAATCATATCTTTACACCTAAAATATCTATTTTGCAAAAAAAACCAACCAATCAAATGAAGAGATTTTATTTCGGAAGTACTTCATTTGTTAACGGAAATACCAATAACTCATTAACTCAGCTGGTTAAACAAGAAAATACATAATGTTTTGAAGTTCTAATTAATTCCATACCATACATTACTATAATTAAGTCATAGTGTGGTATGGTCTACTTATATCCACATAAGTAGTATGTGTTAATGGTCAGACATAGTATGTATTTTGGCAGAGGATCGATAAGAAAAGAATAGGAATGAAACGTAATCGGTACGAAAGTGCATGAACATTGAAATCAGAGAAGACGGACTGATATCTGCAGAAAGAACAATTAAGATTGAAACAATTGATTGTTATTACTGTTGACAGTATAGTTATCAGAATTGAGTCAGATAGTCTGTAATTTGTGCTTAAGTACATTCGATTGTCTTCACCTGTGTTCTTGTTCACTATAATAGCAGCTAAAAATATTTGAGTTTAGTAAGATTATAGTCAATAAACTTCATTAGTTATATGTTGCGTAAAAAAAGAAACACATCCATACGCCTATTGGTTAAATAATTTGCCTAATTGTTTCATCTTTGTTACATTTGTTTGTTTTAAAAAAAGAACACAGATATTGTACAACAACAACAACAACAGTCATTCACATAAACTACTATTTTAATTTTAAGTAACAAGATAATTTTGATTAGTTTCATTTAAACTTTTTAAACAAAATATTTTTCAATATATTTTGCATAATAAAGAAATTACAATTGAATGAACAATTTACTAGTTAATGGAAGTTGTTAATTTTCACTTGTTTATAAATATACTACTGAATAGTGATTTATATATTAATATCGTGTTACACCAATATAAAATTAACAATTAAGATAAATTATACATTTAAAATATTATGATAATATCTGAGGAACATCTCTATGTATAAATTAAAACACTGACTACTTAAATAGTGTGTTTTTTTTCTTTTTTCTAGAAACTGTTACACTGATACAAATAAGTACGTTAACATTAATTAATAAGATAAAATCAAATTTTATGATCAGATTAAATAAGATGATAAGCTATTAATTTTAAAACAACTTTAAAGAACTGTCGTTCCATTTTGGTACTCTTTGACTAAGTACATCTGTGAAATAATAGATTCTTTGTGTCACGTTGTGGTGTGGTCTACTGATATCTTTATATGTAGTATATGGTGATGGTCAGAAGACCGATAAGGAAAGAACTGAAATGAAGCACAATTAGTAGGAAAATGTATAAACTATGAAATTAGAGAAGACGAACTGATATTTACAGAAGGAAAAGTGAAGATTAAGACAATTGTTTGTTATTTTGCAAATTAACTGTTCATTGTATGGTTATCAGAATTTAGTGAGATAGTCTGTAATTTGTGCTCAAATACATTCGATTGTTCCAAGTCATGTTTTGTTCATTACAGCGTAACTAAGATAACACAATTCGGCTGATGATTCATCTTTCTTTGACTTACATTTCCAGTGTTAGCTAATATTTAGCATTATACATTTATCAATTATTGCCATTGCATAAAACGTTTCTTCCAGAATTTTCTAAAAATTATCTCATGTCTAGTGATAAGTGAGTAAATGACTATTAGAAAAATATGTCAAATGAAATTTACAAAATTGTCCTCCGTATCTCAACCTTATTGTCTGAATACTTTATGCTTGTTTTGTGACCTAATTTTTTGGGTTAAATTTTGAATGTGAACTACTAACGGGATTTACAGTAAGATAAAACATGTGAATGGCGTTCAATGGTTTTCTATAAACCTTTATCTGATGTTACTTCTTCAGGAAATTTAACCGTGAATTGACCTATTTGGGCAAACATTACATCCAAATCGAAGCAGTACTTCTGGATCTCAAATGTTACGTTGAATCTTCGCTCGATGAGCTAGTTTTCATTACTACTAATATTAGTGTCGATCACTTTATGTCTATGTGTTTGACTTTTTCTGTTGTTGATGAAATTGACAACCTTTGGCCAGTCTCTATTAGCATAAGTTCATTCTGCTGCAACCGATGATATGATACCGTTGATTACAGGTTTTAGCCTTTGATTCCATTGTTAACCGCAACCCAACTTTTCCAGTTAACGAACTGGTCAAACGTATACGTAACTCATCTGTGTACTTAGTTCGTATTCCATTTTATATGTTAACAATTGATATTCCTCCAATGATTCAGTCGTCCTTATAATAAAAATCCGGAAGAGGTCAGTGATATACTTGACACTGATTTAATGCTGACGGCAGTTTTAGCTGTGTCGTAAATGACTTAATTATATAGAATTGAATCCGAATATGAGGATTCTCCAACGACTGTCGAGCTTCTGATCTAAGATAGTGTTATCAAATATTAGCAGTCATTGTGTCACTCAACACTAGTGTAGTGTGAACTTCAGGCATCGAAAAATTATTCATACTAAGGTAAAATAACCGAATTTCATACGTTGTTCTATATAATTCTACTTTCTATTCTATGCAGGCACATATGTTTTCAGATTGTACTTCATTTGGGTTATCAAGCTTTTAAAATAATTCTACTGGAACTCTTTTCCTTAATTGAAATTAAACACCTTCAACGAAACTGCTTATTAGAAGATTTTAAAACTACAACTCTCTCATGCATTCTTGCAGCAAGGACACATTTTGGTGGCAACCATGTTTTATATCACGCTCTTGATGAATGTATACAGGAGAAACTAAAACTATTATACTCATTTTCATAAAAACACTGAAGTCTTTTTTGTCAGAGTGAAGCTTTCGCCTCGAGAAATCTATGTAAAGAACTATTTTTTTTACAAATAATATTATTTACTGATCTTGGTAACGTGAACGATTTTTTCGCAATGATACATGTTACTATAACCGTAAAAAACTGAGTAAAACTTATTTTTTTTTAAATTTGATATGTGGTAGTAACTACGAAAAGAAAAGGCAGTTGTAATGGCTGAAATATAAAAACAAAACACCTTTATTTAAGCCATGCACAAGTTCATTTATATTAGTTAGTAAATACAGATATTTTATATATGTGAATCAATTACGTAGTGAAATCTATTTTAAGGACAGTGCTTATAAGGTGAATGTGTTCCAAATACTTCATTTAGAATAAATATTGTTATTATGTTAATATCCATTGGATACGTGCATTCTCCATACGATGGTATTACTTCGACGAAATTCTTCCCACAAAACACTATTTGTATATTTATGTACGGATTGTTGAATTTACAGTTAATATCACGAACTGGTTATGAACAGAGAGAGCCATTGGATACAAGAGAGCACTGGAAAGTGGTCTTACCACAGAATGGGATTGTAAATTTGTTCACACCCAGTACTTCGACAAGGATTGTGCTCAAGATATTCGAACCTTAGTTTATCGGTGAATATTATAAATACTTACAAATAGGCATTCACTAATACATTCTTTATATTTCTTCGAATTGAATAAAAGTGATTCTCTGAAGCTTATTGTAGATAATTTTCAGTTTTTATCAGGACCACTTATTTGATTGTATTATAATGAAATAATCAACTAGTAAACTACTGAAGTTCGTTGAGTGAATGTTGATAAACAAGTACTTGATGGCGTAACCTTGCTCTAAATTATGATGCCTAAAGTAATTAAAAATGACTAGCTTACTTAATATAATGAAAGGGAGAATTATTTGATTTTCATGGCGCCGTCAAAGTTAGCTAGTCAATATATAATACATAGTTGCCAACGGTTCCACACATATGTCATTAAGCAGTCAATGAGATCTCTATTTTCATGATCTATTTAACCAACAGTTGTATTTGAATTCTTAGAGATATTTATAAACAATTGAAGAACAATATATAATAGGGTTTATGTACATTGTTGGTTGGTCATTTAGGCTGAGATCGACTCATTAAACAAACACCAAATGCTCATTTGTAGAGCATGGTTCAGTATTTGTTGATGACTAAATCACAACAAAAATTTTTATTTTAATGACGAAGTAGGTTATGAAACTTATGTTTTAGCATAAGTAAGCGAATCGTGTTCAGTTTCCATCTTCAGAACTAGCAGTTTAGTAAGGAATCGAAAACCTTACATCAGTAATTAGGCTCATGAGCTATGAAATGAACCCGAATTTCTGTTTAGTACATGGTGAAACCCTAAATGTGATACTTAGTTTTCATCATAAAATAAAGCTATTTCAAAACATAATGAACAATGTACGGCCTGGGACCATTGCATAACACCAGATATGTTTTCACCAAGTACAGAACGAGAAGTTAACAGGGTGAAGTATTAATTATGTTAGGAAAACGAGGAAAGAAAATTTAATTAAATAGTGAACAGAATGCTGTTGACTAGTCGAAAATTCTTAAAATATAAGACAAATAGAACCTTATTTATAAAAAAATGCAAGTTAATTGTTGCATTGTATTTGTTTTATTGAGCTAAATTACACTAAACAGTGAAGCATAGACTAGTCTAAAAACTTTCCTAATGTAGTATAAATCGGATAAGTTTCAGTTGCATAATAATTAACATTTTTAACTTGATGAGACAAACAGAATTGTATTGCTCAACATACTTTTCTTAATAAATATTATGCACGACATATTATAGAAAACAAATTATTATACAGTGTAAAAGCTTACCGAAATCATCTATACAAAATGAATCCTGTAATAATGGTCGGCCGCATGATCTACATTTTGGCTTATAATTCCATGGTAATTGTAGATTGTTATCATCATAAGGATGGTTTGGCTCTTCCCGTGGATATCGTCTATATCGTAAACTGTACCACGAAGGCAAATTATGAAATGCGCTCAGTCCCTCATGTGGATATAAAATACTATGTTGATTATATTCATCGATCGGATGCTTTCGATTCCCTTGATAATCGAGATATGTTGGGGAATTAATGTTTGGTAGTTGTGGTTGATCCTGTAATTCTTTTCGTCGGATAGAGTTCTTTTTCATTTCAGAACTCATATTAATTGATGATGCGTTTCCTAAATAAATAAATCTATTAGGAGTGATTGTAGCTGTTGATACAGATGGTGTTGTTTTTTGACGAGAAGACGAAGCGCGTTCAATCCAATGGCGATTTGATGGACGTCTAATTTGAACAGAAGTATGGACCTTAATATCTTCCTTTGTTTGTTCGATATATAAAGTAATTATTAACAAGATAATAAAGAGAAGATAATAAGGAGGTGACGCTTCCATAACTAATGTTTTCGTTTGAATATCAATGTTTGTCTATACTATATGAATTTTCAGATAAAAGTTTGTGTTTATTATGTGTATATTTATAAAACGTTCAAGCGTATTTTTGTTGAAAATCAGCATTTACATAGATCGACGAATAATGATTGTATTTAATTGTTATTTTAAACTATATTTGATAATTTTCAGTCCCATTCAAATGTTTAAAAGTTGAAAGGTATGTTTGTATAGAACCACAAATTGCTGTAATACATTTTTAAATTCAATCAAAATTTTTTCTTCGTAAACTAGTTGGGCTTTTTAAATTTTCAGCATGAATTATTCATCAATTGAATTTAAGTTCATATAATATTCTTCCCGAAGGAAACTTTTTACCCAATGAAAACTAGTCATTTTCTATATCGTTTGTAAGTTGAAAGATGATTGGTTAATTTATATTTTTATCCTCATTTCGTAATCTCGATTAATAATGGTCAAGACACGTGCTTCATCCCACTTTAGACAAATATTCGATTGATGTGTACTTCATATTCTATTGACATCGTAAACAAAATTGTGAACACAATACTGATCATTTCAAAAGTGTGTTATATAGTTGAAATAAATTTTCTACATGTTATCCCATACTATTTCAACTTGTGTTAATTTAATTTCCCTTTTAAATTACTCTATAACAAAGAGGCTTTGATTAATAAAACGTCGGAAATTCCAATTTTTAATCAACGAGACAATATAAATGTGTCACTATTTTACTATGATCAGTCTAGCCGATGATAATTAATAAAACATTTTAAACTCCATTATTATTTTGTTCACAATGAGTTGTCATCAGGACTCAGTAGCTAAGTGGATAACGTGATGACGTTTGAAGTGAACGATACTAGGTTCGAGTCCTGGAGTGAACATCGGCTTTGGGATGCAGTCGCTTTCAGCTGACAAGTTTCACATACGACGAAACACATCCTGGATTTCATTGCTAGCCATTATTCATCTTTGCTTATAAAGCTTGTGAATTAAGGTGATATCAAGGCGATACGCACAGGATGCATATATGCCAATAAGAGACTGATCAATTGCAGTCGTAAACATCAATGGGAATTTTCAAGTAAACAATGGCAAGTGAACTTGCCTTAAATGGTTATTCTTCTGAAACATTCTAGGGATAACTACATAGATTTCTTTTTATATTTTCTTTAGATATTTTAATGTAAAGACAAGATAAATTATTTGCGAAAAACATTCATGAATCTTATATTTTTATATCCAAGTGTTATTTTCCACATTACTTAAAATATGTCTCATCTAATGCGATTTCAGTAGTTTTCTATGTACAGACAAATTAGTCTTTTAAATAGATTTGAAAATTCCTTAAAAGTCAGAACTCATTATTAAAATGTACATTTTGTGAATACAGAATATGATCATATTGTAGTGAACAAGAACACGAGTGGAAACAATCGAACATATTCAGACACAAATTACAGACTATCTCACTAAATTCTGATAACCATACAGAAAACAGTTAATTTGCTAAATAACAATCAATTGTCTCAATCTTCACTGTTCCTTCTGTAAATATCAGTTCGTCTTCTCTGATTTCATTGTTCATGCATTTTCCTACCCATTGCGCTTCATTTCTGTTTTTTCCTTACCGATCTTCGGCCCAAATACCTTTTAAATCTGAACATCACCATATACTACTTATATGGATATAAGTATACCACACCACAATATATTTACAAATTATTATTTCTAAAGCAAATTAATGTTTTATTCAGTATTAGCCTTGGTTTACTTGATAAAACTCATAATTTCAAATGATTTCCACGAGCAGTTACCTTAATCCATTCGTATGCAAGAAAAAGCCTACATTTTCAAATGAAAACAACTTTACACTCTATGAGTTCTTTTCAAATGATCAAAAAATATTTATTCCCATATGCTTTTCTTTTTGCGAACAGCAAAAACAACTTTTGTAATAATCAAAAGACGAATGAATGTGAATAATGAAATATCGATGGTTTATGATCGAGCTTATGTTGTATAATACTATATTTCAGTTTTAATTGGTAAAACAAGCGAACTGGTTCATTTTTAAGTGCCAGTATATAGTGTGATAGAAACTAACAAAACGGAATTACTCAGGAGATTCTCTTGAAACGGAAAAAACATTTCAAGATTAACATTACTGCCTGACTTTGACTGAACAACTACTAGAAACCAAAAAGCATTGAACAAGTATTTCACCAAAGTATCAGAGACCTTAGCGTTGCATATCTAGAACCTTAGAAAGAATCAAAACTAGGATATTCACACCTCATGGTGAATGTTTAACCATCAGATAACTGAAATGGTACTGAGTGGTTTACGATTCTAATTTCAGACGATTAACATTAATGCACAACCATTTCCCATTAGCATTAAAACGTTTCGTCTCATGCCCTGAAAAAATAAGTTACTGAAACCAAGCAGTTATCAAGAATTGTTTAACAACAAATACCACGGTGACTGAAACATCGAACATTATATTGGGTCAATTTAGAATAAAGAGATAAATACAGTTGTTAAGGAGATCATAACAGCACACCAATGAATAGAGAAATTATTTGTTTTTTTAATATTTACAGTGTTTTACTACATTTGAATCTTTTATGAATCAATGGAAGTTAGTTTTATGATTATCAGTTTTTCAGTAAGAAAAACATTTTCAAATCCTTTGATCAAAGTACTATGCTTCTTGTCCTCATTTTCGGTCATATAACAACATCGCATCTACCAGAAACTCCAGCAAATCATGAAAAAAGAAACAGATTTTAAGTTCTCTCAGTTTTGTAGTAGTTCTGCAGGTTATGCGAGAGCATGATGTAAACGAATTAACAAATGGATAATCCTTAAAAATCGTCAAAACTGATAAGTATTGCCCTGAAAGAAACTGTAAAATGTAAAACTGAAAATATTTTATGAATCAACAAATGTTTATGCGACATTTATTCTCTTGCATTCTACATTGTTCGAACCACTTAAAATTTATAATAAAAATGGTGATGTACAAGTAAGAAGAATATTTTAAACCAAATGATGCTAAAGAAATAAAATGAAATTCAATTTTTAATTTAAAAAATCCTCTAATTTTCTTATCCAGTTATTGGTGTATAACTTTATTTTCATTACTAACCACCCACCATCAACAGTTATTCAGACAGGATCCAATTGCTTCTTAAATTTTATTACTTTCAGTTAAGGGAATATTCATTAGATGAAACTGAGCAAAAATGAAAAAAAACACACCAAAAAATGTTACACCATAGAAAATAATTTTTGATTAGAGAAACATAAAACAATTTGGAAAAAAAACGTTGTATATTTATGTGTATTAGTGTTAAAAAAATACCGTTTAATGATGAGATTTTCTTTTTCTCCCATTCAGGGAAAAATGTATATGCAATTAAAAAAAAAATTTTTATACCAAACGAACTATTACCAGGTAACCAAATAATATTAAAATGTAATTGCTTTTTCCCACTTAAAACTTTAATTTAGACAGACTTTTTAATTTTTTAAAAGTGGAAGGGAAAAAATTCCAGTAAAACAATGTCTTTTTTTAATTCTTTTATTTCATTCAAAAATATGCGTCTGAAATTAATTAGATTTTATCTTTGACTGAATATATATCTCTTGTCCTCATTTTTTAATTAGATCATTTAAATGATAGAAAAAAGAAGTAAAGTACATAATAAAACAATGTGTATAGGCATATGACTATATAATATTAAAAATGATTTATTTATGAATTCATTTATTATCACACAAGCATGTGGCTATCAGGACTCAGTGGCCGAGTAGATAACGCGATGGCGTTTGAAGCGAAAGGTACTGGGTCCGAGTAGTGGAGTGAATATCAACTCTGAGATGCAGGTACATCCAGCTGACGAGTCCCAAATAGGGCGAAACGCGCGTCCTGGATTCCACTGCTAGCCATTATCCAACTTTGCTTACAATGATTTATTTATGTTCATTATATATTTTAAGAATAATGTTAAGTGAATTACTTATATTATTGTCAGTAGTTGTAGACAGTTTTCACATTTTTACAGGTTGTCAGTTTTAATTAATCGTTAATGAGATGTTTTCAAAAAGGTGCAATATTTTTTTTCTTTGAAAAAATTACAAAGATAGTACTGTGCATTGTATAAAATGTGATGTATTCTATATATATATATATATATATATATATATATATATATATATATTTCAAAAGATTTTAAAAAACTTAAATAAGAAAGATTGGTTCAGCAAAGAGTTCTCTTTTCGGTGGATTCATTTTCAAAGCCATACAACCGTAAACAATTATACTTATTTTTCAGGATGATATTATTCGCAATAATAATAATAAACTTACGTTAGACATGTTGAAAGTGAGGTAGAATAAACAAAGGTCTGTCTAAAATACACAGACCTGGTTTACCTCACAGATCAATTCTTGATATTGTCCGGATCCCCATACCACTCTATAGCAAAGTGGTTGGTAGATCTTCTAGAACCCGTATGAAAATGCATTTGGAAACACTTCGTACATGATACTTTTGTTACGTCGCTAAATTATTGCATATTGCAATAGGACTACACGAATTTCTACCGGTTGACCAAATTCAGATATCCTAGTACGACCCCAATACTGTTCCCCCAAACTCCGATAAATCAGAACACAGCCGTCAAATAAGGATTGTTTATGGGGTCAGAAGCAGGTCAAAAATGATTTACAGACAAGGCATATTTATACAGTTAAGATGACTATTAACAATAACCAATGGAAAGGTAGGACATGTAAAGGTTATGATTAGGACAACTCAAGATTGAACAGTAGGAAAATGACACGTGAAAGTCATAGTTAGGACAACACTTTACGTTCGAGATAATTTTTTGGGATATTCCTGTGAATATCCTAACAACTTTTGAATTCATTAAACACATAAGTGAATGTAAATAAGAAAATTATGCTATCTCTAGATGTTGAATCACTATTCACTAATGTTCCACTCACAGAGACCATCCATTTTATTTGAAAGAATTACTACTACGTTGCACTTGCAATCTTCCTTTCACATTTAGCGACTTAATTCCTAGAAAAAAGGATAGCATAGCAATGGGATCCCATCTTGGTCCATTACTAGCAGATTGCTTCATGGTCAGTCTAGAAAATGACCTAAATAATACAATTATATAAAACGTCCACTCGTATGAAAGGTACGTAAATGATATCTTTACTAATTATCAGAAAGGGTTTTGTGGAGATTTAGTATTTTCAATTGACTCACGCTTTCAACTATGAAGACATCTTTACTGTTTGTAACAACAAATATGATTTAAATCATTTAAAATCATTTAATAACTGTCTCACAGCAATAAATTTCACACTTGGAGTTGAAGACAAAT